CTCCAATCCTTAGCTGTGGTTACAGGCACATGCTACCACATTTGGCTTCTACAAGGGTATTGCGAGATCCATTACTGACTGAGCTATCTCTCTAATCCCTTCCCCACAAGCCTGTCTTTGAGACAAGGATTTGCAATGCAGTCTTGAAATTTCCTTTGTTACCCAGCATGGCCTCAAATTTTCCTGCCTATGTCTTCCTAGTGCTGAGGCTGTATCTCCCTGTCCCCAGGTTCATTTATTTTATTTTATGAGTGTTTTGCCTGCATGTATATCTGTATAACACATATGTGCCTGGTACCCAAGGAGGTCAGGAGTCATTGGAGCCCCTGGAACAAGAGTCACAGATGACAGATGTTTGGGAGCTACCATGTTGTGCTGAGGATAGAACTTAGGTTCTCTTTAATAACAAAGGTTCTTAACTATGGAGCTATCAATTCGGTCCCTGTGTCTTTCTAACATGCCCAATGTGCAGCTTTTATTTTTCCGATCTCTGTCTCTCTGTCTCTCTGTCTCTGTTTCTCTCTCTCTCTCTCTCACACACACACAGTCACATTTTGACACAGGATAGAATGACAGATAATGAAGGGGACAGGAGAAGGAAAAGAAGTCCTCATTCAACAAATATCTGAAAAGGAGACCATATTCCTTTATATACAGATACTTCAAATAAGTGTCAAAGCAGTGTCATGCGCAAAGTCTAAGCACATAGCCTTCCTTTGTTCTTAGCTATAAGCATGCAGTTGAGTACAAACCTCAAAAGAAACTCCACTTATAATAAAAAGCATGTCTTAACCACTTCGTGAAATCCTTGTGACCTATATAAGGTTTTACCTTATCGAATTGGACTCCCCCCATCCAAAATATCTCTACAGTCATCCACCTACATAAACCACATTTCCACTAAGAAACAAAACAGGCCTTAAAAAGTTTTCATAAAAATACCTACTCAGGCTGCTGCAGAAGGTAACAGAGTTGTATCTCTGCCCTCTGCCCCATATATATATATATATATACAAGCCAGGCTGGTCTTAACCTCAGACTCCCGTGTCCAGGACTACAGGTAAAAGTCAGTACAACTAGCTTAACTTCTCTCTTGAGATATAAATCCACATTTTATAAAATAGCAAGAAGAATAAGGCTGTTCTCTTCTTTCCTTTTAGCTTTTAAAAAATAACTATTTATATGTGTATTAGTGTTTGCCCACATGTATGCATGTACACCACATACATGTATGGTGCCCTAAGAAGTCAAACAGAATATCAGATCTTCCAGAACTGGAGTTACAGACAGTTGTGTGCTAACATGTGGGTGTTGGGAACTAAACCTGGGTCCTCTGCAAAAGCTGTCAGTGCGGTTGACCACTGAGCCATATCTCCAGCTTCCCTAAAACTTTTTTCTTTCTCTGTTTCCTTTGCGTAACACCTAATTTCCCATAATCACATTACCATTAAACTAAGTGCCCCAAAGAGGTGTCTGGAAATGCTGTTTCCTTTCCTTTCTCTTCCTCTGGAATGAGTTCTCTTACTGTGTACCTTTCAACATTCTGCTGGCAGGGTCTGCAAACAGATCAGACTTCCTCTGCTAGCCCACCATTTTCACACTGCTGTCCTATATTGCAAGGACTGATTATCTTTCTGCTTTAAATCTTTGACTTTGGGGACAAAGAGCCTTACGTTTTCTACATGTTAGCCAAGTACCCTACCACTGAGCTACAGACTCCCAAATTCTTTCTTCTTCGATCAAGAATTTTTTTTTTTAAAGTTATGTTTGAGTTACTTTCCAGTTCAGGATGTGCTAACTGTATAGGGAGGTGGTTCTCTCCCGTCACCTGTTCTCCATCTAGCCATTCTGTAGTAACAACAACACATGCTTCTCTCAATTATGTCATTCTGCAGCTGCCTGCCCCGTACTGTCTGACTTCCTTCCCTGCACTAAGACAGGCATCAGGTTCAATAACTTCCACAGTGCTGAAGTTTTGGAAATAAACCAGTAAATGAGAAAATTAATGAATAAATGAATGTACAGTGTTCTGTTCCTCCAGTGAAATGTTCATGCTGAGTGTCCTATTTTATTTTAGGTCTTTTTCTCCAGAAGTCATTCTCTGAATTAGGCCCCTCATTTTATAGAATCCTACAATCCCTCTTTTGTACATTTTATTACAAAAAAACGAAATTTCCTCTTTTCTTGTACTTTGAAGATAAGCTCATACAATAAAGCTCTGCCTGGCTGGGAATTTGCTACACGTGTAGTAATCTTCCTGTTGCTGTTTTCCAAGCACTAGGATTAGTGTACCATCACACCCAACTTCACAATAGGGAAACTGAGTAGAATTTCTGTTATTATCCTTCTCTTCCACAGAAAAAAGAAACACACATCCCAATCCCTATTATAAATTTCAGAGCTTTTTAAATTATTTATTATTTATTAAATATTAATTTAAATAAATTTAAATATTTATTAAAATATTTTATTATTTATTATATTTATTAAAATAATAAATTATTATTATTCAGAGCTATTTCAGGGGCTCTGAAAGTACAACACCTAGCAAATACTTGATATTCAAACACTAGCATTGGTGGCCAGGCAGTGGTGGTGCACACCTTTAATCCCAGCACATGGGAGGCAGAGGCAGCTGGATTTCTGGGAGTTTGAGTCCAGCCTGGTCTATAGAGAAAGTTCTGGAACAGCCAGGAGTATACAGAGAAAACCTGCCTATAGAAAAAGAAAAACAAAAACAAACCCAAGAAAACAAAAAAGCTAGCATTGATTAAGGTTTCATAAAAAAATAATCTGGGGGCTGGAGAGATGGCTCAGCGGTTAAGAGCATAGCCTGCTCTTGTAAAGGTCCTGAGTTCAATTTCCAGCAACCACATGGTGTCTCACAACCATCTGTAATAAGGCCTGGTGCCCTCTTCAGGCATGTACGTAGACTGAATATTGTATACATAATAAATAAATAAATATTTTAAAAAATTATCTGTCAAATAAAACTAGTTACAGAAATATTTTCCTCCACGTTAAAACAAAAATATTGGGTGAGATGGTACAATAAAGTAATCTAAACCGGGCAGTGGTGCACGCTTTTAATCCCAGCACTTGGAAGGCAGAGGCAGGCGGATGTCTATGAGCTCGAGGTTGAGGCCAGCCTGGTCTACAAGAGCTAGTTCTAGGACAGGCACCAAAACTACAGAGAAACTCTGTCTTGAAAAATCAAAAGACCAAAAAAACCAAAAAAAAAAAAAAAAAAAAACCAAAAAAACCCCCAAACAAACAAACAAAAAAAAGAAAAAACCAAAACCCAGTAAAGTAATCTAAAAAGAAATTAAAAACAAAGAAACAAAAATCTTCCTGGGGGTTAAAAAATAAAATGAAGCCAGGTGTGGTTGTCCACACCTTTGATCCCAACACTCATCAGAGGAGGATGGGTTCTCTGTCATTTTCAGCTCAACCAGATACACTTCGTGCGTTCATTCCTGGACAGCTAGAGCTACATAATGAGACCCTGCCTCAAAAGACAGATAAACAAACAAATATTTTACCCAGAGTATGGTAATGGTACACACTTTTGATCCCAGCACTTGTGAGGTAGAGGAAGGTGGGTACTAGAGTTTAAGGCCAGTCTGGTCTACACAGTTCTAGGACAGCCAGGGGTACATAAAGAGAACCTACCTCAAAATAGAACAAAACAAAATTTTATTTTACTTTTATGTATTTGAGTGTTTGTCCTGCATGTAGGTCTGTGCATCATTTGCATGGTTGGTGCCTATGGAGAAGAGGTTGTCAGATCCCCCGGACAGGAGCTACAAAGTGAATCATTATGTAGGCGCTACAAATCAAACCTGGACCCTCTGTAAGAACAGCTATTGGTCTAAAGTGGTGAGTCACTTCTCCAGTCCCCCTTTGGGTCTACATTTTTAAGAAGTAAATTTGCCTTATCTACTAAGATAGATTTTGATTTTTCAAAGTTCATTGAATAAAGAAAATTAGAAAAAACCCTACTTGTCCCTGAGGGGTCTTTTTCCTCTCCAACATACACATTTTTTTTTACCCTTTAAAAGAGTAAGGAGAGAGAGGAGTGGCTCTCTGCTCACTGCGGTGAGTGAGCACTACAGCAGCACTTAGCTCTAAAAGTCCTGCCCGAGTTATCTCTAGAAAATCAGACAGAAATACACATATAAAATTTACTGACAGCATCAGACTTTATAGTTAATTTACAAACCCCTTAAAGATTATAGTAATTACTAAGGTATGCATATTCTTTATTTGCATAAGCAATGACTTCAGTTTTATTTCTACCTTTTCTCGTATCAAAAAACATTTTCCTAAGAGAATGATTTAGGTATGGTTCATGTCTTTTTTTATCTAATTGAAATAACTTTGATGAAGATACCTAAAAGTAATCTGGAACATAAAGCCTCTCTGAAGATTCAGTCCAGTCTTAGTCCTGAAACCTGACGGTGGTGGCGCACGCCTTTAATCCCAGCACTCAGAAGGCAGAGGCAGGCGGATCTCTGTGAGTTTGAAGCTAGCCTGGTCTACAAAGTGAGTTCCAGGACAGCCAGGACTGTTACACTGTCTTTGGGGGAAAAATTAGTCCTCAAAAGTTTTCCTCTACGGAGACATGGGTTCTGTGGAACACAGACGCACTTGCAATCACTGGACTAGCACACAGTGAGCTACCCATTGTTCACAAGGGTCTGGGCCATTTCTTGATTAAGGAATGAAGCACAAGCATTTGTGGAAGAGTTGGAGCATTCTTCCTGGTTTCCAAAATCTTTTTTTAAATGATGCTTCTCAAAAATAAATAAAACTTAGAACAAAGATATTCCTCACTTCTTACATCTAAGTAAAATAGAAACTTTGAGGATTTCAAGATATATAGAAACAAAAATAAAACATAAATTTAAGAAAACGGTCAAGCACATGAATCAAGAAAGCAGTGGGAAAGTAATTTATTCCTGTAACACACATAACAGACAACAAAATACCCCTCTTACCTGCCAGTGCTTGAATTGCCCTTTCACTGGAAGGCAGGGCTTCCTTTCGGAGAGGCCGATTCAGGGCAGTATCTTGCACAGGAAAGAGTCCAGGGCTGTCAGTTAATTTCTTGCGGCAATTGGAGTTAGGGTTTGAAACTCTGCAGTTGCCTATTGCACTTGTAAAAAGGTTCATATGTTCATCACTGCTGGCTGGCTCACAACTGGGAGTAAATCCTCCAAGGGACAAACTTGGGGAACTTTCCGAGCAGTCAATCTGTAAAGGCGTTTGCAATCCCAAGGCTAAAGAACTCGATTCCGAAGGCTCTCGAGAAACCCACTGTTCTTCTCTGTTTATTAAACTCTTTGAAGGAGAGAGATGAGGGCAGGACATGTGGCACCTGTGCTTTTCCTTATGCTTATATCGTTCTCCAACAGTATCCTTTCCAAACCGGTAACGCTTCAAAGATTCCAAGACAGATCTGGAAGAGCCAGAGTCCATGGAAACCTGGGGCTGCTCAGAACGGTGCTCTCTGTGTTTGTGACGATGTCTGTGTTTATGCTCCACCATCCAACCATAAGCCATCTCAGGAGGTACACTGGGGTAGGTGCTCATGGAAAGGAGTGGCGTCCTGCTGGTTGTGAGAAATGCCTCCTGCCTAAGGAGCTTATGCTTTTTCTTATGGTATTTGGTAGGATTGAGCAATAAATGACCAGCATGCATATAGGAAGGAGGTGGCAGTGGAGTGCTGAATGATGGAGATGGAGGTGGTGGATAAAGAGTGGGGGGATACCTTCCATAATAACCTAACCCTATTGGAGCAGCTGTAAGGGGTGAAGGAGAATAAGGCATGCCATAGGAAGGATAAAATCCAGTACTAGATAAAGGAAAACTAAGGCTGTGCATAAAAGGCATTTCTGCCACTGCCTCCCTCATCTTAGGGGGCCTCCCTCTTTTCTTTTTTAAATCAGGCTTCCGAATGTAGTGCAAAGGGTCTAAGGGAAAAGAAGGATGTGTATAGAAACTATTAAAGTTAATTCGAAAAATGGTGGGCAGGAGGTCTCGGGGAATAAAATGATGACTTCGATGGGTGATTCGAATTTCACTGAGACGACTTATGAGCTCCTCTAGCTCGGCGATAAAGTCTGGATCCTGCCTATTTCGAAGCTGGGGATATTTCTTTTTCCGTTTTCGTTTCTGTCTTTTCATTTTATCATAGCTGAGATAGTCGTGACTCCTGCGCTTACATTTGTGTTTATGCTTCTCTTTAAGACTGTTTAGGACAGTGGACGTTTCAGGGGGAATCAGAGAAATGTGTTCAAAAGAATGCCTCCTCTTCTTCTGTCCACAAAACTTCTCTGCCCTGTCTGATGTGCTGTTATTGTCTGTCCCAATGCCACTATCACTGGGAATAGTCTCATCACTATGAGACTCACTAACTGGGGAAGGAGTAGCTTCTTTCAAGGATGTGAGCTCACTCAAATGAGAAGGAGAATTTGGCAACAAAGTAGGAGGAGATAATCGCCTCCTCCCCTTGGAAGCTTTCTTCATTGCAAGAGTCTGAATCATACTGCCCTGTCTAGAGTGCATATGCAAATATGGCACTGAACTAGGTTCAACAAAGCCTGCGTCACTACTAACAGGACTCTGACCTCCACTAGTCCCAGAAGACTGAGAGCAAACAGGTGACGGAAGGATCTCAGAGCTACTAGCAGGTGAAGGCAGTAAAGGGGGAAGGATCTGTCCTAATGCCGACCCAGCTGCCTGCTGAGCTGTTTGTTCAAGCACAGCAAGGCTGGCAGGGCTACCAGAAAGAAGGCCATTTAAGACAGTTTTTGGTTTCCGACCCCTCCTCTTCCCTATATAAATGGTTCCTTTCTTGCTGACATTTATTTGTTGGCCCAATTTAGAGCCAAATGTGGCAGCAAGACTTGATACTGTATTATGAAGTTTGGATTGTACTTTTCCTTTATTACTTGATTCTACAGAACTTGAAAGAATCTGATTCAACAGTTTTTTTCTCTTTAAAGTCTTCATTTTATTTATTTTGCGAATAATTGTTTTCATTAATTGTCCATTGTTTCGCTTGCTAATTTTTTTTTCTGGTTCCATCTCAAGGTCACTCATACTACAGACACTTTGCCTATGACTGTCATCTAAGTCATCTGTATCCTGAAGCTGATCCTCACTCTCAAAGAAATCCCTGCTGCTCCTATGGTTCTCACTCTCAGACTCTAGCTTACTTGGACTTTCAGTGGCAACAAATGGAGCCACTGACAGTACAGGTGGCTTCATCTTCACTGGAGATCTCATCTGCCTCTTAGGCCTGCCTCTCTTTTTTGGAAAAGGAGATACAGACAAACTTTGTTTGAAGGAAGGAATTTCAATTTCTGGCTGTAAAATTGGGGGTTCTTGTTCTTCTTTAGACTGTAAAGAAAAAACTTTAGAGGCAGGTATTTTCAAAGTCCTTTTAGGTGGACCTTCTAGTTGAGGCATTTCCTTGGATTTAGGTCTTCCTCTTTTGGGTTTATAAATATCCGACAAAAGATCACTAGTGACACACATACTGGAGGATAGCTTGTGAGCAATAAAAGATTTATGAGATGGCTTTTCACTGTCAGTTAAGAGAGCAAGAGATGGAGCTGTAGACTTACTCAACTTTGGCAATCGGCGTTTAAGAAAGTCGTGATCAACAAAAGACGATGCTCCAATATTTTTCATAAACTTAGCTGGCTCAGAACTATTAGATAGTGAGCTACATGAAACATTTTTAAACAGCTCAGATCTTTCTAAATCCAGTCCTTTTGGAGACCGACATGTGCTTCTTGCCACCACTTTAGTCCAGCGAGGTTTTCTTCCTTTCCTTTTTTTTAATGGTTTGGACTGGAAACTCGTGCTCAGGCTTTCCGCAACTTGGCAGTGTTTGTCAGATGCAGCTACTGCACCAAGCTTTAAAAAGGGTTTGTTACTAAATAAACTAGTAAAGTTAACAACTGAAGGAGTAATTGTGTGAATACCAGAGTCAGAAGTCAAACTTGACTTTTTCCCCAAGGAAGAACTTATTCTAGGAATATCTAGATGTGTATTTTTTGATTCACTGATTTCCTTATCAATTCCTTTGCATTCAATACTTATGCTATGACTTAATGACCTATGACCAACATTCAAGTGAGAACTTTCAGCAGTAAACTGGTTCTTTCCAATAGATTCAGAAATTTCTTCCATTTGTTCTGCTGTAGAATTTAAAAGTAACGGATTTGGAGCCAACTGTGAAGAAGTTTCGGGGGGACTTCTGGTCAAAGGATTAATAGATACAGTAGGGGTAGGGGAAGGAAGATTGCTCTCTCCTACTGCACCAAAGGGAGACTTCGCTGTAGATGCATCAGAGGCACCTCCCATCTGAAAGTCTGGAGAAGTGCAATAGACAGGAGGTTGCTTTTCATGCTTTGAGGTCTCAAAGGCTCCCCTTTCATTAGATGAGAAATTGTCTTGCTGAATGCATGTTCCTTCATTATACATTTCTTTCTCCAAATTAGTAATTTCTTTTCGGACTGAAAACTTTTCCAGCATGCTTTCTTTACTATGCCGCAGAACATTCTTCTCAAAAGTTTTGATGGTGGCACTGTCTTTCAGAGACTCAGGAAGTTCTTGACTTTCATGATTATTGATGTTTGCACTACAAGAAACCTTAAGTTGTTCCTGAGTGGGAAGCAGTGCTTCAGTTTTAAGGTTTAAGGCATCTTTATTGCCCAGTCCTGCCAGAGGACAACTCACTAATTTCTTTCCAATGTCCTTATTAACCAGTCCCATTGCTGAACTCGCTACAATCTTCTTCGTAACATCCTTGGCCACTAGGCCAACTGTAGAACTCAATTTCTTTCCCAACTCTTTATTAACCAGTCCAACGACAGTGCCAAGTCCTAATTTCTTGCCAGACTCTTTATTCACTAAACCTGGAACAATACCAATTCCTAGCTTCTTTCCTGAATCTTTGCTCAGCAGTCCTACTGTAGTGATAGTCCCTGGCTTTTTGCCTAAGTCTTTATTAATGAATACTGTTGTAGTGCCAGTTCCCAATTTTTTCACAGAGTCCTTACTAATCAATCCTACCGCTGCATTGAACATAGGCTTTTTCCCTGAATCTTTAGTTACCAACCCAACTGCTGTGCTAAGAGCTGGCTTTTTAATTAAGTCCTTATGAATTATTCCAGCTATAGAGCCAACACCTGGTTTCCTGATTAAGTCCTTGCTAACCAATCCTACTGTAGTGCCAGTTCCTAACTTCTTCGGTTTTGTCTTGGAAGACTTGGAAGGAGGACAGGTAGCAATGAGCTGTGCCAACTTTTCTGTTACACTAGTCCCTCCATTAAGTAATGCTCTGTCTTTTACATCAGGATCCCGACCGCCAGCAAGAGATGGTGCTGCATTAATGTAATCCACCATTTGTGAATGTACCGGAGAAAGCTTCTTAGACAAAGGATTATTTTCTCCCTGTGAATGAAGATGGACGCTTTCTTCAGATTGGCATTCCATGGCTGAAGCATCACCTGCTTTCTTGTACAGTTTTGAAGGGTCCTAAAATTTGAACAAGAAAAAGGTTTCAGAGAGAGCAAATCTTATAACACTTTAATTTCACATTATAATCAAACAAATTGACTATATCTCTCTTCTCTCTCTCTCACACACACAAATGCACATGCAGCAAAATATAATTTTTTAGGATTGTATGTGTATTTGTGCACATGTGTGTCACTAATGCAGGTGCTCGGACAAGCCAGAAGATTTCCTGGAGCAAGAGCTACAAGCTGTTATTAGCCTCCCAAAATGGGTGCTGGGGGAAAAAAAAACTAATGTACTCTGAAAGAGTACTAAACGCTTTCAACACTAAGCCATCTCTCTAGACTTGAGAAAATATTTTTAAGAAAATTAGTGTTAAGAGGAGCATAGTGGTACATGACTACAGCCTCAACACTTGGGAGGCTGAGGCAGGAGCACAGCGAAGAGTCTGAGCCCAGTCAGTTCAAGGCCTGACTGAGCTATGTCTTAAAAATTGGGAATGTCTCTCTCTAAAAACAAAGTCAACACAACAACAAAAACCTACCAGGCAAGATGGGTCATTGGGTAAATGGCCTTGACACCAAGCTTGACAACTTAAGTCGCTATTTTATATGGTTAAAAGTTATAAAAAAAATACCCAAGTTTCTGACTATCAAAATAACAGAAGCAATTAACTATATCTAACTACAAATCAATAATATAGTGTTACAGAAAATATTTTAAGTTGGGTGTGGTAATGATACCTATTAATTCTGGCATATGGAAAGCAGGAGGATTTCCATGCATCTGAATTAATCCTAGGCTATATAGTTAAGACCATGTCACCAACAGAAGAGGACTTGGGAGATGGCTCAGGGAGTAAGGCACTTGCTGTGTGAACACCAAGACCTGAGTTCAGAGCTCAGCATTCATGTAAGAGCCAGATGTGACACCTGTAGCTGAGCACTGAAGACAGAAACAGGAGGATCCTGGGGATGGAAGCATCAGTTTCAGCCGGAGACCACAAAAAATTAGGCAGAGAGCTAAAGAACACACCATCAACTTTTGACCTTGCAAAGGGTGTGCTGAGGTAAACATGTTTACTACCTACCTACCTACCTACACACACACACACACACACACACACACACACACACACACGAAGAGAGAATATTTTGAAATATTGTTGGATATATTGTGATAAAATAAGTAACCAAATAAATTAGACAAGAAAAGAGCTGGAAGTGTAGATCCTAAGAGCACATGCCTAGAATGCTCAAGTTCATGAGAATATGTACATTTGTGACGGTAATAGCACAATTTTGTGGCGTTAGTTTTCTCTTTCTACCTTCATGTGGGTTCCAGGAAGTGGAGCTCTACTCACAGTGCCCTTTATACACTAAGCCATCTAACTGGCTCCACAATGTCTCTTCTAACCTTGTCTCAAAAAGAGTAAGCCAAAACTAGCAGAAGAAATTTAATTTCAGAAATTAACTCAGAAAATACAATAGAAAAATGTTATTATCAATATGTAAATTATCACGTGCAACTTTAACAGCAAGTTTTTCTTGCTCTACAACTTAATGAAGAAAGGTAAGATTTCCCCCACTCTTGGCACATAAAAAAAAGGCTTTTTGGGGAGGAGGGTATGTTGAGACGGTATGTATATATCATCCAGCTTAGCCTATAACGTAAGATCCTCCAGGGATAATAGATGTGTCAACATGCTCACAGAGACCAGGAGTTTCAGATTCCTTGCAGCCCAATGTGGGTTCTGCAAATTGCACCCTGGTTCTCTGGTCAAATGGTCAATTCTTTACCTGCATAGCTATCAATCTAGCCCGGAATCCCTTTTATAACTTATTCCCAACATGAAAAATAACCACAAGAGCCCGTTTCTGGTTTAGTCTAGTCTTTTGGCATATTACTCTAGAAATCCCTATGTGGTGTTTTCAATAAAAACAGCCCCATTGGCTCTGAGCTACTTCTCCAGTACCACACTTGCTTGCCTGCTGCCAGGCTCCCTGCCATGATGAAACTCTAAGAAAGCCCTCAGTTAAATACTTTCTTTTATGAGAGTTGTCTTGGTCATGGAGTCTCTGTAGTAAAGTAACTAAGACACCTGGTCTGACCGTTAGGTTTACACTGTGAAATAATCCTTTTGTAGACTGTGAATATTTGTCTCTATGATTGGTTTAATAAACAAGCTGATTGGCCAATAGCTGAACAGAATAAGGTTAAATGCGTGAGCAAAACAGAGAATGCTGGGAAGAAGTCTGGAGTTGTCAGCCAGAAGGAGAATGAGTCTGACACAAAAGATGGGATAGAGGTAAAAGTCACGAGCCTCAGGGCAGCAGTAAGAGTAATAGAAATGGGTTACTAGTTAGTAACCAGCCTGAGCTACTGAGCATTTGTAACGAATAAAGTGTGTTTATTTGGGAGCTGCTGGCAGGACAGAAACTTCCGCCTACAGGCTGGTGCTCAGGGCCACTTGGGTCATGCTCATCTTCAAGAGCCTGGTTCTCTTTCCTCCCTCAGAGCTGATTTTGTCTACAAGCATCAGACTAGTAGACTTCAAGTTCTCAGTGGTGACTGTGTGGTAATATTTTGTTTGTATCTAACAAATAAAGCTTGCCTGAAGATCAGAGTGCAGAGCTAAAGCACTAGTTAGCCTTAAAAGCCAGTCAGTGGTGGCCCACACCTTTAATCCCAGCATTGGGAAGGCAGAGGCAGAACCTCTGAGTTCAAGGTCATCTGGGCTACCGCTACATTGATCCAGTCTCAAAGAGAAACAAAGCCAGGTGATAGTGGCTCACACTTTTAATCCCAGTACTTGGGAGTCAGGGGCTTTTAATCCCAGCACAAGGGAGATGGAGCCGGGGATATGACTGGGTGGAGAGAAGAATATGAGACAGAAGAAAGGGAGCTCAGATACAGTCTGGAGATGTAGTCTAAGGACGTTATGTAGTCTGAGCATTCGGTAGAGGTAAAAGGTCTCTCTAGGGAGTGGCTACATTGCTTCTCTGATCTATCAGTTTTCACCCCTAATATCTGACTCCAGGTTTTTACTATTAAGAAGTAGAATTCGGGCTGGAGAGATGGCTCAGGGGTTAAGAGCATTGCCTGCTCTTCCAAAGGTCCTGAGTTCAATTCCCAGCAACCACATGGTGGCTCACAACCATCTGTAATGAGGTCTGGTGCCCTCTTCTGGCCAGCAGGCAGACACACAGACAGAATATTGTATACATAATAAATAAATAAATATTAAAAAAAATAATAAACTCCAGCAAAAAAAAAAAGTAGAATTCAAGCTACATATGTGCTTTTATGTCCCATACGATAAACAAGCCTTAACTAAATTGGCCCTTCTTCCCTACTTTCCCTACATTCTGAGCTTACACATTCTTTCCTCAAAATGCAGGTCTTCTCCCTTTGCCCTGCTGCTCAAGAATCAGAGTCTACCTGATTACAAGCACAAATCATTTTTAAACACTATTTTATTTACGTGTATGAATGTACTGGTTTGTACCTGTGAGTGCAGGCCTGTGGAGGGCATCAGAGGGTGTCAGACACCACAGAGTTGACTACGTGCATAAGGCATCAAACATGGCTGCTGAGAATCAAACTGAGGTCCCATGAAAGTGCAGCAAATGCTCTCAATCACTGAGCAATCTGTCTCTATACAAGCACACACTATAGTCGTCTCATCAGCCAACGACAGTACATGGAATCTCTCTCCCTTTTGAAACTCAAAAGAAGGGTATTTTATTTGTGTTTTAATAAATAAAGCTGGCCTGAAGATCAGAGTGCAGAGCTAAGCTACTAGAAGCCGGGGGAGTGGTGGCCCAAACCTTAACACCAGGACTCAAGGCTATCTGGGATTGAATCTGTCTAAAAAGAGGAACAGAGACACACAAAGGTGCCACCAGCACTTGGGATCCCACGTCTTTAAACCCAGTACTAGGGAAGTAGAGACAGGAGTAATGTGGCTGGGCAGGGAGAGGAATAGAAGGCAGGAGAGATAAGAGCTCATTGCATTCTGAGGTTTGGTGGAGAGCACAGCATCTCCACCTTGAGGACAGGGTTGCCCCTTTGTCTGGGTCTTGGTAGAGGTAAGAACCATCTAGTGGCTTGCTTCTTTGCTTTTCGGATCTTCAGCTTGAAAACTGTCTCCTGGTTTTTATTATTTGTGCTACCAGAGGGTTTCTCAGTCTTTATCTTGAACTCTCTCCTAAGAGTTACTGCCATGTTGCATGACTGTCTACAGCATTACTAACTCTAATAAACTTTTTATTCAAAGGAACTCTAAAACTCTTTGCAAACCTGAGATCTCATAGTGACTAATTGTGAAAGAGGTATAATGTAGAATTGTGTATTCAAGCATGTTTTCACTTAAAAAGTGAGATCAGACAGGATTATGCTGTGGCACATGTACCCCCTGAAACACACACACAAGCTCTAGGTTTTGTTATCATACAAGAATTTAATTTGGAGTTTCTCTCAGAAGACTTCATTTAATATCATACAGCTCTATTTCAGAATTAATTAGTAATATGCACTTACTAAGTGATCTGTATGTGAACAGCTCTGAAATGATTTACAAGTCATTAAAATGAAGTAAGAGATGTGATTAGACAGCTATGAAAACCAACATGTGAATTGTTGAGCTAAAGTGGTGATTTTTAGCCTTAAATCTCTGGCACTAAAGAAGCTGTGTCTTCTAACAATTGGTTCAATGATGACTTCCATTAGCAAAACAACAATGAAACCAGAAACATCTGCAGTCCTCTCACCTCATGATGTACATTACGAAACAAATTAGGACACAAGCAGAGCCTTTCCATTTCATACTCTAGGAAAAGTGAGGATTGGAGATATGGCTCGGCTGTTAAAAGCCAAGGCCCACAAAAAAGAACAAGAAAAAGTGAACTTGAAAACCAAACAAATAGTACATGGGTAACATCCTATTCACAAGCGAACAGATGCGCTAGTCTCTGACCCAGGACCAATGACTGATACTGGACAAAGACAAAGAGGAG